TTGTTGAAGCAATTCATATCTAAATATGTGAATCAGTACTATATAGATGTGTAAAGATATCTAATGAAGAAGCTTTTGACTTAACTGAAAATCAACTGGTAAGTTATTATTTATTAGAATTTGAGTTAATTAAAGATTACTATTAACTATAAGTAAAATTTGATTAGAATTAGAATAAATGTGCGTTAAGGGTTAGTTGTTAGGCTTAGAATTAGTATAAAAATTAGGATTAGTTAGGGTTAAAGATTAGTTGTTAATATTCGAATTCTTTAGGCTTAGGGCGAAAATTAGAATTAGCTGTTAGAATTCGAATTTTTAGGGTTAGGGTGAAAATTAGAATTAGTTGTTAGAATTAAGATTTTTTTAGATTTTTAGAGTTAGAATTAGTTTAATATTAGAGTTAGTGTTAATATATGTTATGCAATATATTAATGATATGTTTTTTATGAATTTTAGGATGAAATATCATTAGTAAATGATCAGGATAATGAAAACATTGCAATGTTGAAGACTATTATAATTATCAGCAGGCATATTTAAAAACACTAATAGACTCAGTTCCAAAAGAATCAATTCAAGAAGTGTGGCGAATTGTTTCTTATATGGCTATGGGTTCATATCAATATATTATTCTTTTTATGGATGGAACACATTTATGTATATGTTTACTGTTAGTTTCACATGGAACTATCTGTCGGCATTATTTTAAACTAATGATGGAAAATTCAAATGCATTATTTCATATAATGCTGATGCCAACACGGTGGTTTCAAGACAGTATTTGAAATAAAGTTGAATTGGCTTTTAATGAGCCTTTTATTGGAGCATCATCAAAAAGTTTAAAAAGTTCATATAGTGATATTTTGCAGAGAACTTATCCTATTTCTAAACATTTTGATAATGTTTAAGAAGATCGGGTTCACCAACATATGCATAAAAAACTATATTATGATCAGCTTATGAGTCACTTTAAAAAAGCGCTACATTACTCGATGGAAGATAACGATCAAAAAACTTTAGATGATCTTATATTGGTTTATATTTCAGAAAAAGAAAAGAACCAGCAAACAAATATGCAATCAGAATATAGAATCTTAAGAGAAAATGTTAATTTGAAATGTGAAATTAAATTATCTGATAGTCAAGTGCTTGATGCTAATAATGTTAAGGATCTGATAGAACATAAAGGTAAAGGTAGACCCGCAAACAAACAATTAAAAGCCTATAATGAAAGGAATGAAGTAAGTAATCAAAAAGAGAATATACATGAGGTTGATAATAGTAATTCAAACCATACCGTTAGTAGTCATAAATGTAGGTTGTGTCATAAAACTAGTTATTATGCTCCAAAATGTTTTACTAAAAATAGCAATTGTTAGTATTTTTATATACTGTACAAGCATTATTAAATTATAAATTGCAATACTGAGTATTTTTACTTGGGAATCAAAAGCCAATTAATAAATAAAAGTTTGTTACTTTATTATTTGTATTAATAAGTTTAAGTCTATTATAGCTAAAACCGATCCAATTAGCATATAGGGTGTGTCCAATCATGGGTGTGACAAATAAGTATTTACTAAGTATATTATATAATAATTGTCTATTTATTATATCCATGATTGGTCACACCCTATGTGCTAATTGGATCGGGTTTAGCTATATAGGCTAAGCAACATATAAGATACATTATCCATGCAACAAATAAATTTACTCTACTTAAAATTTTATTAAGTAAACCCTTTTTGCTTATTAATAGAAAAAGATTAAGCTCAACCAGAGCTTCAATTTAATATATAATACATCCAAAGCTGATAAATACTTCTAATTTTATTAACAAAATAATATAAAACTCCTTACAAAAACTCTGCTTAATTTTTACAAAAATTTTTTTTTGGGGGGTATTCTGCTTCCTCTAGAGCACCCAAACTTGCAGATTCCAATTACTAATCCATATTACTAATCAATTTACACAATTCCAATTTTGTTTCATCTATTTTTATACAAAAAACCTTCTTTACTATTTCGGTTCTAATTAAATTTACATAAATTTTAGCTTCCAATGATCCTGTCGATCTTCTGATCACTATACTGTGTAACACCTTATTTGTCACACCTCCTTATTTATTACACCCTTTTATTTGTCACACACCTTATTTGTCATATCCTCTTATTTGTCACACCTCTTTACTAAAACTTCTATCTATTCTTCTACATTATGGCCACTTTAATCTCTGAAGATCTGGATTCTTACAATCTTGATTACTACTATAAAAATTATCATGATCGATACGGAGTAGAGATTACAGAAAAAGACTCTAAAAATCTCAAAGTACTTCTACATGCTTTCAAACCTAAGGCTTGTGATCTAACAAAAAAGCACTTCTTTCAAGTATCTCACCAACCTTCTATTGGTAAATGCTATTGTGGTAAATACCATACTAGCTTTACCTCAGCAAATTACAGAATTACACATACAGAACATATAACTGTTGGTCAACCTGCAATTATATCTACTGACATCTCTATAAATCAACTGACCAAAAAGTGTGATAATCTACCAAAATCTTCTATTACTAAACAACCTGCTCAGAACCAACCTGAACAAGCAAATCTATGTTTACTTTTTCCTAGTTACTGGACTGACCCCAATCTTGTTGCTATTATTTCACATTCACAACATTACCATACTTGTATCTTCTGCATGAAAAAAACTCTTTCCTGTGTATCAACAGGTCAATACAAACATGCACCAGACTACCTTGTATGCAACCTTATTAAAAACCGATTGATTCACAGAGAATATAAACCACATATTCACAATATGAAGCTTACACCTATCTATCCAGCTTCATCTAAACTTGAATTCTACCATAAAATAATTATTGCTCGCATTAAAGCTCAAAACAAGAAACCTCTTACCCATCAAAAAAAAATTATAATCTCTTTAATTAAACTCTGAGAACTTTCCTTTAAAGAAAAAGGTCTAATCTTGTCATCATTATTTCTAAGAAAACTAGACACACAACAACAACAAAAAGACCAAGAAAACAAATCAGAACAACAACAGCAACAACAACAACAATACCAACAACACAATGATGATCAAGAACAGAACCTTAATAAACAATAACAGCAGAAACAAACACAAAGACCTACTAGAGATATATCCAATGACCTAGATTGGTTTAAAGAATACCCAATTTCTGAAAACATGCAACTTTATACAAAATTCAACAACTTTCTTGCATATCAACTTTTTGATTTTATTAAACCACATTTAATCAACATCTACCTAGGCAAAGTAACCAAAAAGGCAGAGGGTGATAAACCAGAATCTAAATTTACTTATAAATATTTATTTAACAAATTAGCAGGCCTTAGACCTAAATTTCTTGCAGACTTTATTTATCAAAATAATCCAGACATTGATAATGCTATTTCAATTCCATTTAACATCCTCCACTCCACATTAATCCTATTACTTAAAGAATTCACTACAACCCTCTTTACACAAATTGATTACTCTAAAGTTTTAACTGCATATAACACTATCCCACCATATACTACTACTAATTGAAATCAAGTAGCATTAAATCTTGCTTGTATACACCTTATACTCCATAACAAATACCAAACTATTAATGCTAAAAAATTTTATAAAGATTAAATATCTGTCCAATTAGACTCAGACTTTACTACTTCTTTAGTATAGATGCTATTAATCAGCCTTTAATCAAAATTCAAAATGATAGCTTATTCAATATAAATGTTTCTCTTAATATTCCAAAAAAATAATTTCTCGAAACCTTTCAGATCCCTTTACTCAAAAAATACTCTGATAATTTTGATGCTTGGTTCTTCAAATTCTTTAATCTATATAAGAAACAATTTCATAAAATTGACAAAAAAAAAGTTCGCAATTATATTAAATATAATATTGCTCAAAAACTATCTCAAAACTGTAAAGATCAGATGATATGACGCAAATCACTAACTCTTCCCAACGATCACTTGTACCAAATTTTTCTTAAAAACAATTGCTATTTTCTCAAAATTT